ATGTTTTTCCATATGTCCCATAGAAAGCTGTACATACCTAAAATACCTAAATCCTCTTTCTTTATTCGTGTCCGATCCTTCAGGTTTAATGTAGGAATCACAAAATTTTTTTGATATAAAGGGCAGCAAATGAAGCAAGACTTTGGGCAGAAAGGCCCCTGGAAGGCTATTGACTATATCTGCAGGGTCATTAATCACTTATGAAAAGCAGTTTTCTTTTTTTTTTTTTCATGAGCCAGAAGATATATTTTTAATTAAGACGAATGAAGAAAGGGTGGTTCTACAGCTTGCCTTGTGACAGTAATGGAAAGTCAGAGCTTTATATCAAGTGTATACCCACCATCTGTTGGGAGCTGGAGCAGGCACTGAGTTATAAGGCCATGACCTTTGATCATCTCTCAAAATTAAACCTCGCTGAACATCCTCACTGGGTGAAACTCAGCCCTTGGATATGCAGTTATTTCTTATTAAAGACACGCATCTGAGAGCTAAACATAGCCACAGATGTCCAGGCCAAACAAATCTGATCAGGGTATAAAAATCAAAATTTTCACTGGTTATATGTGGGGAATGCTGTTGTAGCAGTGAATGAAGTCCTACAGAGCTCTGATAAAACATATCTTTATGGAAACTATTAAATTGGGTTTGGCCATCTTGGGTCATTTCATTGTTATTATATCTTTGTCAGCGATCACCCAGAACAAAGTTTTCAGACTTTCCAGGAAATTAACTGAAGATCAGTTACTGTGCTGTCTCCCAAATTTATGGCTCTGCAGCTAACTACAGACCCAGACGTGCAGTGATGAATTATCTCTCGTGTCTTCCAGCCCATCAAAATGAAATCTGCTTCCTTGGGAAGAGGCAAAATGAAATCGGTGCGTTACAAACAAATTTATTAAAAGGTGTGTTCAGTCTTTCATGAAGCATCAATGCTTAGTAGGGAATTAGATTTTTTTTTCTTTTTCTGAGTATGAATATATCTGAGAAACTCAATAAGAGGACCAGCATGAAGTAAGTTTACCTTCTGAATGTCAAAAGCAAAGGCCAGACTTGGAGCTGATTAATGGCTGCATAATCTATCAGTTCAGAGTCAAGGAGCTGCAGGTAGAGGTTAAATTATTTGTAAGGTAATTTGGCTTGACCTTAATGAGGGCTCAGGTCTCACAGATCATGGAAGAGTCCATAAATAATCTCTCTGGCTCTGGAAGCACTTGGGGGTGTCTCTTCCTGCATGATCACAAAATGTATTTGTTGTTTGTGAAATATCACAGCAGACAAGATGTTTTTGAATTCTTTTTAAAAAGTAAGACAATAACAGCAGTGATGGAAAACTTTCAGCCCGAGATGTAAGTTCTATTTGGGGATTTTTTGTGCTGGGGGGTATCATGTACCCCCAAAGCCCTCTGAAGAGCTGGCAGTGATGTGTATGGCACTGAGGGGAGGGGAGCAGGGTGGCAGTGGCAGCTGTTGTTGGGGCTCTCCCAGCTGCTGGGTCCATGTAATGGCTTTGCATGGCAAGGTTTTGGTAGTGGGTAGACTACAGGGGTGGTTTCTGTAAGAAGCTGCCCAGGAGTTTCCCCTATATCCTACAGAGCCAATTCCAGATGGCTCCAGGACAGACTGGCCAGGGCTGAGTCCATCAGCAGTGATGGTATTGCCTCTGGGATAACACAGGGGGGAAAACTGCTGTGCAACAACAGAGTGCAGTGGTGAATTCCCCAGACACAGAAAATCCTTTCATCTTCTTTAACTGCACTAAAAATGATCGAGTTTTTCCCTTAGCACAAACCTCTTGTTTGGCAAGTCCCCTTGCCTCAGGCACTTCTTGCTGCAGAGGAGGACAGGTTGTTGTGATGGGGGTGAGACAAAACTCCTGCTGACCTTAGGTAGAAGGTACCTAAGAAAGGTGACTCACCTGAGAGGTTTTGCTTGCACACAGTGAAACCAAAGCAGGGGTGTTTTGTTAACTGGTGGCTACTGGAGAGTGACAGTGCTTCCTGTACATTTCCAGCCTTCACCCACCCAGCACAGCACTGGTCCTTCAGCTGCCCAAACTCTTTAAAATCTGACCAGTTGTTCCTGACTCTTGAGCAGTCGCCAAGTAGCTCATCTGTCAGGTGCCTGCTTTGCACAGACGTGTGCTGGAAATAGAACAAAAGCAAAATGCCTCCCTTGTCACTGCAGTGCTGGAGAGATCCAGATACCTGGATTTCTCTAAGGTTTTCCATCCCTGCATCAAGTCTTATTGTTTGGATAGGCATTGATTCCAACTCTTACTTTCCTAACTACAGTGTGGGTTAGGACCAGTTTTCTTCACCTGAATAAACATGGTGATTACCAGGCATGAATGATGCATCTTAAATTCTACTTTGTGGATTATTTTTGCATTATTCAAGACCACATAAGAGCACCCCATAGCTGCTTGCACACCTGGTTCATCCCACAGTTATTTGCTCAGAGGCTGAGGGTCTGGTACAGTGTCTATTTAAGGCCGTATAAAATCTTCCAGGGGTTTCAGTGACCATCACTCCTAGTTGAAATTGCTTTTGTCAACAATCTTTGTGATTTTGCTACAACAAAAATGTTGTATTTCTTTCATATGGGGAATTCTCTGTGTTCTTTTTCCTGTTTACCCTGTTGCTTTACTTACACTGTTTTCTTACCAATATTTAGTTTCCATTAAATTCCTCCAGGACTTGCTCTTTTGGGGCTAGTTTTCAATCTGCTCTTGTATTCCTCTCTCACCCAGCAAATCCAGCTGCTGTATTTTTTCCCAGTCTGTTATTCAGCCTCATGTTATTTCCCAGGTTTTTCTTCCCCTTTCTTCCCCTTCTTCCTCCTTCCACGCACAAGAGTGAAAGGGCCCCAAGCACAGATGTGTGAACCTGTGCTGTGCCTTTTTTCCTTTTTCCTTTCTACTTTCTTCATCGTTTCCTTGTGGTATCCCCCCTGGAAAGCAAATAAATGGAGAGGGAGCCAAGGAAGGAGGCAGTTCAGCCTCACTTCTAGAAATAGGAAGGCAAAGGTGATGGATGGTAGTTCGACATAACGGTGTCAGAGCTCTCCTTACCTGTTTTGTTGCTTTATGCTAAACGTGGCTGCCCCACTCTCTGGATTTTAAAGGTGGGCAAAAGGGTTGACACAGCAAAAACAGCCAGTTCTTTCATGTTTGCAAAGCAAGCCTTCAAAACATAGCTCAAAGTTTTCTCTGGTTGGTGCAGGCTAAATGAAACAGCAGTGAAAAGCTCCTGGGCTTTCCCACGAGGGTACCAGAGGGATTTTGGGGCTCATTTCCCAGAAACAGCTGGTTGAAAAACAAGCCTCAAAGTCAGGATTTGTATTCATTCATTTACTTCAACAAGCTGTAGTTGTACAATAGGGTCTTATGGCTTTTAATGATGTTCTGAATTTTCCTTTAATAGGAGTGTCATTACTTACTCTGGAAATATATTTCAGTTGTTTAGACACCTCAGTATTCCAGGGAGATTTCTCTTTTCAGAAGGAAATTAATTCAGTATTTAACTCATAGCGGTATCTTTTTTTAATGGGGAAAGCAAAGATAAATTCAATATCGTGCAAATAATAAATAAAGTAGAGTGTCTTCTTTGATCCTTTCTCGGGGCAGACCTGCCAGCCAGCTTTACATAGAGCTCTGGTGGGAAAAGGAGATGCAGGAAGGGCTGCCATCAGTCTTCACCGCACTTAGCTAAACCCATTGACATTCACGGACTGTGATGGTAGGAAAGCTTTTCAAAGCCGTTTGACTCCAAAAATTTGAGTTATCATCATTGTCATATCTCAGCCTGACAGGAGAAAATGATTTGTCGGTCAAAACGTCTCGTAAACACGGACATTTGATTCAATTTAATCAGAGGCAGTCCCTCGCTCTGAATGCAGGAGGCTCATCTGCAAGCAAAGAGGGAATGAAATAGCAGGTAATTCACTTACTCCTGCTCTGTCCTGTTGGCTCTGGGTCAGCAGGGAAGGGGGATCGGTGCAAATGCTGATTGCTTTGGAAAGGGAGACTCTCCCCAGGCTTCGGGAGCGGGTCAGTTCATCCATCCAGGCACAGACCAGGCTGAGGTGGGACCTGAGGTCTGTGTCTGTGCAAAGAGCTGTGCTGGGGTCATTTGGTTTCAAGTCTTTAGCGTGGGGGTCAGTGAGAGACCCGCTGGGAAGGGGGAAAATCCAAGTTACCTTTTCTGCCTGTATGACAGTGGTTAGGGACAGGGCTGGCCTGGTGCCAGCCCACTGTAGGCAGGATCTTATTCTGCAAGCACTCGTGGGCCTGAGCAAATCTACTTGTGCTAATGGCCTTATTAAACTCAAGCCTGTATGTGTTACAAATCTACACAAAGAGAAATTAGAGCCCAGATTAGATTAGTCGCTGAAGGCTGTGAGCGCACAGCTGTTTGCCAAATTGCACGCTGAATTTCATTTTTGCTTAGACTTTTACTGATAGCAATTTGAAGGCAGTCATTAGAGCCATCAGCCTTTGAATGAGAAATTTCAAGGGACACTTCAAGATAAATCTGCTCCTCTGCTATGAGAAATTATTCCTGATTTGCTTTGGGCTATGGAAACCAATTACATGAATTTTGCACAATAACCTGTTTCTCCCAAACAGGGGGAGCACTGCTGGCCATAAACAGACATATTTTTACTTCCAATTAACGGAGTGGGTGCATAAACATAAGGAAAACTGCTTTTTCAACTTAAATTTAATAACCAGAAAATAATGGGAGGAAAGAATCATCATTTACAGCTAGAATACGAGACTCTGGCCATCCTTATTCCCTTCCTCTGCCAGCCAGCTGGATTTGTGAACACAGACATATCCTTTCCCATTAAATCATAAAAACTGCAGGCTTTATTGCTTATTGGCTCCTAGGTTCCCAGATTTAGGAAAGGGTGGGATACTAATTTTCGGACTTAAACTTCACGTAACTCAGAGTGCTCTAGTTCTTTAAAACTTCATGTGTGTTTTTCTTCTATTCCAGATACTCCAGAGCTGCCCTGTAATCCCTGAATCCTGCTGAATTCACACCCTGGTGATATATCAATGTCAAAGGGATGCAACTGGTAATTCTGCCTGGCTGTTAAACTGCCTGGTGTTACTCTATTTCCAATGGCTGCTGTCAAGGTATGTGCTTTATCCCTTCCAAGCTGCGGTGGAAGTGCTTTAATCTTATTATTAGTATAATAAAAATAAGTCATTACTAATGCTTAAAGCAATTGTTATCTTCTCTCCCTGCCAGCCCATTCTATATTAATATTAATATTTCTAAACCGAAGCTTTGTACCTAGGACCTGGACCTCCCATGTCATTTGTTTGAAAATCCTGAGAGCATTTTCTTATATAAAAACTGTGCAGGGAAGGAAGAGGGTCTTTTTATTTACCTTCAGATTCCATCCTTCAGGACTCTCTTGCTGGGCGTTCTCAGGTTGCTGCTGCAATTAGAAGACTTAATTGGTTTTATATGATCCCTGAGACTCCTGAATTCCCCAGGAGCCAGAGTTTTCATTAAAACCGCCACCCAATATCTTGAGACTCGCAATTAAATTCCTGAGCTGCCAACTCGGTTGCAAAATGGTTTGTAAAGCCTGGGAGGAGAAAAATATTTCGGGAGAGTAGGCTCTCTGGAGGTGTGAGCTCCTCCAGCTCCTGTTTTAGCAAAGCTCTGGATGTTTACTGAGAGGCACAGCACTGCTCAAACCAGATCTAGCCAAGTCTTTAGCCAAGCTGGGGCAGGGCAGATGCAGCCACAGAACTTGCACGTTGCCTGTGTCAGGGCAAGGCTCTCTGATTGCTGGATGAGCACTTTTGTTAATCCAGCTGTGTAAGGGCCTGGCTGGGAGATGGAAAGATGGCCCTTGAGAGCTTCAGTCTCATCTTCTGTGACTCTTGCAAAGGTTGAGGTTATGGCAAAGCTTTCCTTCCCAAGAAGTAGTAGCATTGGGAAGGCAAAAATAAACATTAATGGTATATCTCCACCCCCCCAAACTGCTTAGTGCAGTGATTGTAGCACAGCTCGGGAGAGGTTGTGTCTGCCAGGTTGGGATGTGGACTCGTATCTAACCAGCAGGAAAGAACTTAGGATTTGGTCAGAAGGGAAGAGATATTTTCCTTTGTTACCTGATTTTGCATCTTGTAATGAGAAGAGCATTGAAGTTGAAAAAGGGCAGCCTAGCAGAAAAGTGCTGGTATGTTGATAATGTGATGGATCTGTGATCCATGTGTCCAGTTGTATCTTCCCTTGATTTGCTCCTGAAGGGTTGAAGCACAATCAGAAGTTCATTTGAAATTGAGAAAATCATGAGCAAGGAGCATTAGTAGGCCAAAAAGAAGAGCCATCAAGAACAAAACTTGGTGTTTTGGACTATTTTCTCCTCCAGTACCTAAAAAAAAAAGTGTGTGGTAGAGCCAAAAGCTCATAAACCTACCACATCATTTCAAACCGATTCTTTCCCTTCAAAATTAGGAAAATAAGATCCTTCCAGGTGTTGAAGAAGAGAAAGCTGTGCAGGGTTCTGTGTTCCTCTTCCATCTGCCCTGGCTGAAAAGGCGCTCAGGCAGGTCCCCATCCTTTCTTCCAGCTGCAATCCACTGAGCTCCTGTCTTCCCATGGGAGGTGGTCCCTGTGGCCTTGGCACACAGAAATTTCAGACAAGTGGGTGTCTGTCCTCCACGTAGTTGCTGTTTTCATCCTTTTAGGCATTGGAGAAAAGTGATCTTTTAAAAATAAGATCAATATTTGAAATAACTTGTGATTTCAATTGTAAACAAGTTTGGTGCGATTATGTGGCAGAAATTGCTGGGAAACGTGCAGTGTTTATCTGACAGGTCCTATCTCTAGGTCTAGCAGGCCAGGAGACCAAGCTTTCCCAGGAAGAAACACCACTGGAATAGCAGCCAGTTTTTTCCTTTTTCCTTTATTCCCCCCCAGCAGCAGTGCTACTTTTCTAACTTAAAAGCAAAACCTGTTTCTTTGCTCCTCATCGTGAGAGTCTGTAAAAAAAAAAAGGCAAAAAAAAAAGGTGTGCAGGAAGATGGGCAGAGGCTGGGAGCACTTTCATCATAATGGGGCTCTGTGTGTGTGTGTGAACATCCCGACCATCCCGGGGGGAGCCCTCTCTGGGAAGAGCTCCGGAGCCGGCGGCAGTGTGCCGTGCCGATAAGGAGATGAAACAATAGCCGCGACACCGAGAGCCTTCACACAATTACTTGGTGAGGATGTTACGGAGTCAAGTGCTTTGTGCCTTTGCTGCACGCAGCAAATCTGCTCGCTCCTGAATGGTTAACCCCTTCTCCTCCTCTGCCGTGTCGTTTAATGCTTTTAACGGCATCCCAATTTGTGAATGCTGAGGAAATGGCACTCGTGTTTCTTGTTACTTGCAAGGGTTTACATTTTCCACAGTGATGCCTGCAAACCAGTGCAGCCCTGAGCCCATGTGAAGATTTGGGGATGCACAAGCCATGCTCTGGCAGAGGTGGGAAAACCGGGGTTGTCCTTGCTTGAGATCCAGAAGTGGATCCAAGGAACCAAACTTCTTGTATTATTGATGCCTCGTTTCCTCATTAATGCCACAAAGATTTATGTGAAGAGACATGCACAGTGCTAATGGAATTACCCACCTACATCTTCCCCCAACGCTCCAGTTCTGTGCCCTCACGTTAGTGCTGGGTGAGTAAGTGAATTATTTGTTAGTCAGCAAAAGTCCTTGATTTTTGTCGGTAGTGCTGAGGGCTTTTCAATACCTTTTGCTTAGGCTGGAATTATAATTTGAATTACAAACTGAAAACATTTTGATAATTTTTCCCATTCCGGTGCCAGTGAGGGTCAGTGGTTTCAGTCAGCAAGCTCTGCTTTTCTTTTTTTTTTTTTTTTCCCATGAACAAAATGCCATCCTGCAGCATTTCACTTACCTCTGTTCAGTACACATCTGTCTAAAAGTGCATCTTTCAAATAGATACATTTCCCATTAGCATTAATAGCAATTACTGGTGAAGTCCTTAATCTGCTGTTCCTCTGTGTGATGTGCATCACTAGTTGAAGGCAAGGAAGACATTTCCTCCTGTGCCTAGGAAATGAGCTGTGCTCCTCTCAAAGTGCAAGCTGAGAGAAGCCCAGCAATCTCATCTTTTAGGGTCTGGCAGACATAATATTTCTCAAGGCTGTGGCAAAGGCAGAGCAGGAAAAGACCCTCTGAAGGGGACACTAGTCTGAAAATGCACAGAGGCCGCAGAGTTAGGAGGTCAGAGGCTGTATCGAGGATGCGGGCCATTTTTGGGGGCATCCTTCAGCCAGGCTCAGTAAGGTGCCAGAGGCACGAGTGGGTGGTCAGGTTGTGTGTCCCTCCCTCCCTCACCTTGTGGTAACTGGGGCAGAAGCTCCATCCAGTGAAATCACTGCAGTAGGAGCTGTGAACTTCTTCACCTCTGTGCCTGCTCCTGTCGGGATTTTCACGTTGCTTCAAATCTGGTTATGATTTTGCTGAAAAATCCTTCCTCATGGCAGCCAGTTAATTTTCTAAAATCCCCTTGCATCTGATATCTGTGCCAGTGCACAGAACTGCAGTGGCTGAGCTCAAGGATAAAAGGAGCAGCACAATGACTTGTGCTGAGCGGGACTGACTTCTGGTCCGGTGAAAATGACTGAAAGAGCAGGAATAAATCTGAAAGGAGTCACTCTGAAACCAAAATGGGAGGATACAGCTGGGACTGAGTAGCCTCTTGTGTGAATCCACTTTTACTGATCTTTGTGTGCACAGACACCTGGAAATGATTTATTCCTTGTCATGGGCCTGATCCTGTGAGTGTTGCCAGGAAAGGTGACCGAGTCAGCTGCTCCATGCAGTAGGAGGAGAGCTTGTGTTTATAGGAAGGAGAAAGAAAAGATCAGGACACTGGAAGTATGAGACTCTGGAGATTAATGATAGAAAACTATCATGTGTTTGGGAAGAGGGAAGCAAGCAGGAAACAGGAGCCTAAATTAGGCTGCAGCTCCCTGGGCAGAACACTCAGGTTATAAATATTCTGACAGCATTTAGAGCAGTACTGGCTGTGCTGATTGCTCTTTGCTGTCCTTGACAGTATCTGTGTATATTCATGCTACTATTCTGCTGTGCTGACAAAACCACCAGGAGTATCTCAGAGTTGTGGGAGGAGGCTGTGCGTGGGTTTGGCAGCAAGACTTCTGGCTCTGCTGGAGAGCGTGGAGGCTGTGCCCTGCTTGCCACTGCAGCGCTGCAGGACAGGAGCTGTGGGATGGCTTTTGAGCTTTTCATTGCTCAGCTGGTGCCAGGGATGCTGGTTTTAAAGAGTATCTTCTCAAACCTTTCCACAAGATCACTGACTCACCTTGATCTTGGTGATCAAGCTGGTGCAAGGGCTTGAAAGGAGTCACCACCATCCTCCTCCCCACCCCCAAAGCTGATGGGTGAGGGTGAGTGAGGCATGAAGAGGAAAATGTGGGCTGCTGATGTCCCAGCTGGGTGGAAGAGCTGGGAGCAAAGCAACAGAGCACTTCTCACTGTCAGGCTTCAGGCACAGCAGATTTCAGCCTTCAGCGATTGTTTTACAGGAGCAAAATAATCCCTGCTGTGAGGAGCCAGCGCCTGCAGTGAGCTCCACCTTTCCCTGCCTTTGTCATGGCCCTTTCCTCAGGAGGAATGAGGTGCAAGAGGAAGTCAACAGCTCCCACAGTCCGTGATAAACGAGCCCAGGCACTGGTCAGTGTTTCCTAGGCTGCAATTTAAGGGGTCACTGGGAATTGCTGTGTTGCTGAGTGCAGTCAGTCTGCTTACCGGCACAGCATCGCTTCCGAAGGATCCCACCAGCTGCTCCTGTCTGCCGTGGTGCAAAATGAAAAGTGCAATCCAGCCGCTGGTTCCAATGAGAATTCTCTCTGATCTGGAATAGCTCTACCCTGGGAGGTGCCTTAGATGTGATAGCAGGGCTGCTGTGCTGGGGAGTATGCTTTTTTATTTGTAATGAAAAGAACTTTATTCCTATCATAAAAAAGTTTAGTGCAGAGAGTTAACTGAGGTAATGTTTTCAGAAGATGAAAATATGAGGAACTCAAATAAAAGGCAACAGTGATTTTCTTTTCTTTCCTTTCTTTTTTATTTTGATTTCTTTTTCTCCTCTTTTAAAGCCCCTGAGAACTCATTTCCTGGTGCCATTGTCATAACTCCAAACCTAAGCAATTCATTTGTATTCGTGTCGATCCCACGTATGCTTCCCTAAGTATTGCATGCAATTCAAAGCAAATGAACAGTCAAACTAAAGCTGGTACTGAGCAAGTCAGGCTGCAAACCGTGTGTATAGGCGGGAATAGAACCCTCTGCAAGAGCTCTGCTTTGCCATCAGGTGTTCTCTGCTGGATGCAGTGTTTTTCTTGGATCACTTAGACAAAAAGACAACTCTGATTTTTGTTTCCATATATGACATGTCATAAGACCAGTGCTGATGTCCTCACAGTGTCCATATAAGTTTTGTCTCCTCCTCCAGCTGAGACACTGGGCTGGTATATTTGCCCTGTAGGAAGGATGCATGGAACTAGGATGGGCTCCAGCCCTCAAATTCCAGGGTGTTGCTCTGAGCTTAAATGTGTAGGGTAGTGGTTACCAGAGACAGAGTGGGGCAGCTAAGCCTGATATTTCTTGGATGCCAATTTCCTCTGGATGGGGAACGTTTTGCAGACTTAGATTATGACCAATGCTGCATCAGCCATTGCCATCTACTTGATGACAGCCTCATTTATGAGCTTCCATCCACTCTGTGAGTTTGGCTGTTTTAGAGCAATATGAAGGAAAATGAGCTTTGAACCCCAGAACTGTGTGGGCTTGTTTGCAAAGAGGAGGATGTGAATAAGTTAACTGTGTGTACCTTATGAATTTGGCATTTGCTTGAGGTTTTTAGCTTCAGTCAATGAACTCACTGAAGGAACAGAGCAGTGCTTTCTCCCACTACCTGATCTGCACCTCATTTAATAAGTTATCTTCCATTTTGGTACTTATACTTCACTCTGGTAATGCTGTTGGACTAAAGTGACTTAAACAACAAGGTTGAGTATTTTAAGGAAAAATTTTCTGAGACCCTCTGCCTGCTCAGTCCTGATTGTGCTGAGGTCACTGATGTGACTAAAATCTCCACTGAGCAGGCAACCTTAATGTCATTCTGAATTAGACTTTTCATGTTAAACTCTAGGTTTTGTCTTAATAAATCAATAGCTTCTCAACTAATCCCAGAACAACTGGTTGTTTACCCAACCTAGACTTCAAACCAGGCTATTTCTGTAAAGGGGCCAGTGTTTTTTGGACGTGTCCCTTTGCAAGATGCTACAGGAGTTACTGTATGGTGAAGTTATGGTTATTTTTAGGGTTTGGGCTGGGGGAACAGGGGAGAGGCTAATGCATACTGGAGTGGGGCTGTGAAGAAATTCCCAAGGGAATTGTGGGCTGCCAAGGGACCTGAGCTGTGAGAAGCTTCCTGATTGGTGTGTTATAGTTGGGGAAGAAAACCCAAAGGGATACCTGGCTTGTCTCTCACTCCTCTCAATCACAGTTGCTTTTGGAGCCAGATGCATCCCTTTCCTGGAGTATAATTTCCAGCTCCAAGGAAACCATTAGTAATTTTACTTAGAGTATACTTTGATATGTATCATCTCTACCATCTATTCATTGTTATCTTATTTTGAAGGAAATGGGCCATTCTTTAGTTCTGAAATCCCAAGCTTTAATGACTTCTGTCTCCATGAGAATTCATTAGGCTTTATTTCATCAGCTACCTAAATGCACACTGTGATCTTTGCAAACAGCAACTGCAATTGCATAACAGGAAAAACAGGCTCTCTGGACATGAGGAAAAAAACCCACCCTGGATAGCTGTCTAGTCAGTTCAGTTCTGCAAAATCAAAAATCAGACTCTCATAGTTTAGGCAAACCAAAACTGAAAGAGAGCAAAAATCACTTTGTAGACTCTGGGATGAATGAAAAGTCAATCAGAATATCAAATTGACCTTGCTCCAGGGGAGAATAATTTGGCATGATGTATGTGCTGTCTCTGAATGTGTTCTCACAGACAAACCAAGTGGTTTGCCTGGGAAAAAAAAAAAAAAGAGCAGGAGGTGAACATAAAGTCAGGAGAAAATAAGGGTCTTGATCCCAGTGCAACACTGAGATCATTTTGGAGCCAACACACTTCTAAGCGAAAGCAGCACGGCTCTAAGGGAAAGATGCAAGGTTGTGCTTGGTAGGAGTGTTCCTTTCTGCAGGAATTTTACAGCCATTGACACCATTTTAGCTCGGTAGCTCAGGGACAGCATTAATGAGCACAGGGCGAGTAGGAATTGAGTGTATGAGAAATGAGGAAAAAATACCCCGTAGAAGGACGGGGGGAGTGGGTACTGAGAGGCACATCCTGGCCTCGTTGAAGTTACTGGAAATACTGTTATGAATGTCCAAAAAAAAAGACCAGTTATTTTTTTCTTTCTGTCTTTTTTTTCCTTTTTTCTTTTCTTAAACTGCGATCTTGTTAAAGTGCTTCCTCAAATGCTTGGAGTGGCTCGGTTCATCACGAAATCCACCAGCCTGAGAGCCAGAAACAGGAGTGGTTTCATTCCCAAAGCCTCACTGCCAGGTCTCATTTGTGAAGTGAGTGTTCTCTTTTCTCCTAATTACCCTGTGCAGACGTCCCCACTGCTGTTCAGCTTCAGTTTATGGTCCCTTCAAGCTTAAGTGCAGCTTCATAAAAAGCCAGCCTAAGATGTGCGGGGTAAGAAGGCTTCCCTTCTCACCCACCTGCTGGGTGGGTGCAGAGCATGAATGCAAGGGCTAAACGGGAAGGTAGGGACAGGAGCAGGAAGATTGTGCCTGTTAGTTACCGTCGAGTCTCAGGGGAGTTTTGCCACCAAATTCCATTAAAATGAGAGTTTCACCCTTTAAAAGTACCATTCAGCGGCTTGTTTGGTTAAATAAGCTAGCAAAGATTGTATATTAGTCTCTGACAGGGCTACATTTGGGTGAAAACCACGCTGAATTATTTATTTTGTCATTAATGTCACACAAACCACAGTCAGGAGAATTATGTGGGCTGCAAAAATGAGCGGCTCTAAGTCAGGTTCAAACAAATGGAATTGTTATTCTTCAATACCAGTCTCGGGTTGCAGCTGCCTAATGCATCCAGGAGAGGATGAGAAGTGAATGGTAAATCAATGGAAAGGTTCACACCTGACTGACAGCCTTTAAATAATGTAAAGGGTCCCTTGGCACGCAGCAGGGTTATATACAATACATTAGCATTTAAGACCAGTGGAAAGACATGCAGGGAAAGGTTTTGGAAGTTTTGTCCTTGTAGCTGTAAAGCTGAAAGAGCTGGTGAGGAGGGCACCTGGAGAGCACCTCAAACTGTTACTGGAGACTGAGAAAACAAAGAAATCTTAATTGGGCCAGAGTGAATTTTGTTGGTATTGGCCTTTGGTAAGACCAGGAGGGGTCTTGTTCTGTGCAGGGCAGAGGACTCAAGGGCATGGTGCTCTCTGGAATAGTCAGGGCAAGGAGGTGAACCCAAGGCCACTTTGGGAGTGAGAGCTGAGCCCTCTCTTGTGCCACACAGGTGACTCCAGAGGTCCCTTCCAACCCCAGTTCTGTGATTCTGTGTTTCCTCCCCACACATCAGGCTGGGAGAAAGAGGGATTTAGCAGGGATGATATTTGATTTCTGACTGAGCCACAGACTTTTTGTGGGACATAAGCGTCCAAGGATTTATGCAGCTATTTAAACTCTTCAGCTTTCTGTTTTGTCATCTGTGAAATTGGGAGAAGTAGCCTGAAAATTATGTAGTGATGAGAAATATCTTAGTGGCTGTATGGTGCTGAGGCACAACTATAATGAGGTAACAAGACTGTGAAACTTTGGTTTAATAAATTATTTCCTACTTTAATGGTTACATTTTATGGGAACAGTATCAGAAATACATCTGGTTTTTTTGTTTTTTTTTTAAGGAGCTGAGGCATCATTTGCTCTACAGTGAGAAACAACAGCCAGTAGGAAGATAAAAATCAACTTTTCATGTAACTTTAGTGAAGAGGTGCCTGTCAGTTTGTGAAGGTTGGGAGTTTATTTTTGCATGTCAGATAGTCCACAGCAGACTGGGAGGTTTGTATGGAAGATTTCACGCAATAAGTTGTGTATGGTAATAGTTGGATGCAGCCTTTAAATAGGCACATCCATCAGAAGGGACTTCTCCCAGCCAGGAATGGGCTAATGAAAATAATTGCAAATATTTTCTAAGCAATAGAAAAATTTAAAAGTAATCATACCTTTAATTTAATGATGGCCAAAACTCTGCTTTGTCTTGTCATGAATACTAATTTTTAAAAAAACCCTAATCAGGTAACACCAGTTGCTTCAGTGTCTTTAGACATGATAGAGCTATGAAAAATCTCTTTTCTCTTCCTAGGATTTCTCTTTTACCTACCATCCACCTGTCTTCTCACTTGATCTCCTTCTCCCAGCTGGGTGTTCTCTGAAGTTCTCACTTGGTTTTGGAGGCCATGGGATAGGAGGTAAGAACAGCACAGCAACCATCTATTCAAATAAAAGTTTCAGAAAGGTCATCTCAGCAGTTCGCTGGAAAGTTGAGTGTCTTTGAAAACTCTAGAGTGGCTTTATTGGGATAAAAAGATTATTTGGCAGAATCCTCTCTCTTGGCCTGTACTTTAATGTGAGTGAAAGTACAATTTGCACTTTAACCTAGAAGAGTAGCTCCAGGGGAAAAAAATAAGAAATTTGAATATTAATATAAGGTAATCCCCATTAAGTGTAGAAAGGGGGTTTGGCTGCCTTATACTGGGTAAAGCTACTTCGGGTTTTCACCTTTCTCTGGCATTGTTTGTTCTCTGAGTAATTACTTTCATGTGCATATAAAACCAGCACTTTCTTTTACTCACCAGTGGAACAGCTGGTTTGGCACAGCAACCTCAGTGGTGATTCTGCTGCTGGGGTGCACAGCACCTTCCAGGAGATGCACACCAGTAACTTAACATGAACTTAGGAAATCGGTGGTGGTGTTTTAAAGCAAAAAGGATCTGCTGTATTAATGAGATGCCAAACAGAGAAAACGAGGTGTGCTACGAGCTCATTAGCAGAGATTCCATTGTAATCACCTTCAGTAATGCTTTTGGTTCCTCTGTTGGGTTTTTCTTTTGTCTGTGCATGCAAAAATAAATGATTGAGAAATGAAAGGATGCAGTTGCAGGTGCTGAAGGATATTTTTAGCTTAGTGTTTGACAAAGACATTGTTAGCCCTGCCAAAAACAAGGGAGGTCGCTCTGGGGTCACGGTGATCCAGACCAGAAGGCTGCTGGATGCTTCCCTGGGCTGGCTGCAGAATTTGCAAGCAGTGACTTAGTTTCCTTCTCAAGCTGAGTGTGTTTGGAGGAAGGCAAGGAATCCCTCATCTTTTGGCTGACCTCTTTTTGGTCTGAGATGCTGCTGCTTTTGCAAAAGTTCACAATAAGTTGCCGCTTCATGAAGTGTCAGGGCACGACGTTGGGCTGAGAGCAACCAGCAGATCCTGAGCACATTGTCCTTGGAGTTAGCCTGGCTGCTGATCCCTGGACTGGAGTGATTTACTCACCCTGAGAAAAAAGACCTTCCTCTCTCAGGTGTCCAACTCTCCTGGCTGGAGCTGCTGTGCCTGTGACTCTGTGTAAGCGCACTGAGGGAAGTGGAGAATGTTGAATAATTTTCCAGCCTTACAGTTTAATAGCCTGCTTGGAAATTATAGAGCTGGGGCTGTTTATAGAAATAAAGGAGGTGCAGCATAGCAGGAAAATGAGCATCAGTTCCTGCAACCATCCCCAGGTCTGATTCTTCTTTCTTTGAGATCAGCTGAGTGTCAGGGTTTTGACCCCTCATTTATGCAGGTACTCCAAAATGTCCTTACCTATTTTCCTGGCAGACTTTGGAGCTGCTCCAAGGCTGTATGCAGCTGCAGAGCTGGGACAGGTTAGCAGCTGTGTGGATGGATTTGCAAGTCTTCTGGAGCCAGATCCGAAAGGTCTTGGGCTTGGTGACAACTACCGTGATGCTCAGAACTCTGGATGGAGACCTAAAAGTACAGATAACGAGCTGAAACTGAGCAAACCCAGCTTAGAAAAATGATTGTCAAAACAGGCCTACTGCATTTTCGCTTACAATTTGACCAAATCAAACCAGTCAGTGTTTTGATTGACACAATTTTTCATTACACTGTCAGAATCTTCTCATTCCTTTGAGGTCAACGAAGGGCAAAAAGGAGATAATTCCTTTAAATCAAATTTCAGATGAGAAAATACAAGGCAGAGCTGTGTGGCCTTTTAATAAACAAACAAATAATAAACCTCAACTAAAAACCAACTAAAAACAGGCACCCAAAAAAAAAAAAAAGAGAAAAGCCGAAGTATCGATGCCTTCATGGAAGGCTTGGACAACAAAGCTCCAAAGCAAATCATAATCCAGTAATTGGTGGTTTTCTGTACCACCAGTTCTGTTCTTTGAAGTACTAAATTTATATTTGTATCTCTGTTTAGAGAAAACCTCAGGGTGCTGCCTGCCTTTACTAAAGCATGAGTAACAGCAACAGGGGATGGCAATGCAACGTCATCTCTGGGCCATCTTCATCAGCATGGGCCACAAGGTCTTCTGGGATAATTTGTAGAAAAAAAAAAGGGAAAAAAAATTCATGAAGACCTGTGGTCTGGGTTAAGGCTTCTCTTGGAAGTTTCTATTGGCTGTAGCAGGACCTGTGCTGCTGCAGATCGAGCTGCACTTGATGTTATGACTATTTGATTTTGCAGGGATGAGTTTAAGAACAGTTTTGGACTTTGAAGGTTGGGTTGAACTTCTGCACAGTGTGTTTTTCTTTTAGTGAAGGGTAAGCAGGAAATGTTACAAATATATTTTTAGGAAAAAAAAGGTATTAGAAAGCAGAGGAACAAAACCCAGGCACAGTGTTTCATTTGCACAGTGAATCCTCGAAATCAGTTTCTGTGTGAACAGCTTCATCTTGGAGGTGAAAGCATTTTGAAATCCACCTTCTTCTCTGCTGCTGCAAGAGACCCAGCTGGGTAATGATGGCTGGGTTTCACCTGCATGATTTTGGGAGTCAAAGGGATGTTTCTTCATGGCTTATTAGGTATCTACAGAAAGTGCTCTTCATTTTTATTCCAGAATTGGCTTCCCTGGCTGTGGAGTTGACACCTGCAAAAGAAAAACAAGTTGTGTAGCTTTTGATTTATCCATTGATTAATAATCCTTCACTCTGTGTAATGGTGATCCCTGGAAGACACACAGTGTTTGGACTTCCCTGACTGTCCAACAGATTATATTTTAAAGGGAAATCTTAAGAAGTGACAAGCTCCTGCTGCAAATCTCTAGGAAAACTGAGATGCTGCACAGGTGTTCTGCAGCATTTTGTAAAGCCCCCTTTCCTCAAGAGAGAGACCTTTAGTGATATTTTCTTCTGCTGATAACCCCCCTTCCTTCTCCCTACCTTTTTCAATATCTACCCTGTGGAAGTGGTAGAACCCTGAAACCTTTTTAAGATTTTTCTCTTTGTGTGAGCCATGGAAAACTCTGCATGCCCAGAGCCCAATATCTCCATCCGTGGGGTTAAGGTGCCTGTATCCCTGTGGTCTCTCCTCATGCTGCTGCTGCATCCTTTGCTTTCCTGATGGGAAGAACAACATTTTATGCTCTCTAAGGCAGAGTTTTGGAACAGCAGCAGAATTACCCTCCTTTCTGACTAGTCCTCCAAGGAAAATCTCTCAGATCTGGCTCTCCAGGGGCTGAAATCAGTGTGTGGGTTAAAGTTAAGTAACTTGGCTATTTGGATGAAATAGCCTAGTTTTGATTAGGTAGGGAATCAGAGGATAAAGGGATTTATTTTTCTCAGAATTGGGCATAGAATAGCAATGTAAAAACCTGGATCAAATAGCTAAAGCCAATATCTTCCCCTTGAGGCTTTCTTTTGGTTCCTTTGTAGCACATCAACTTAAAAGAGACTTAAACTCCGTTTGCTGAGTGGGAGGGAGAAAAATAAAAGAAAAAGGGAGTTTGGAGTTCACAGCTGCAGCCTCTTGGGAAATTGTGGTAACAACGTGTCATCCTTGGAGTCATGGCTGATAACACTTGTGTGTCCTTGTGCCTCTTGGTCTTTATCTAAATTATCTGCTGGCATGTCTGAAATTTAATGATGCCACATGACACTTGGTACAACAGTCTCTTTGATGTGTTCCCCCTCTCCTGGTACTCGGGAAGGCAGCCTGGACAGGAGGAAAAAAAAAAGAAAAAAAGCTTTTTTGCTACATTTTGCTCCTGATGTGTTGATGTGTTCATCCTCTCCAGCCTAGCGTTTGGGCAGTGCAGACCAAGAAGCTGATGCTTGTACATGCCTGCAGATGTACCTGTATTACTGTGTATTCCTAAACTAGACTTGGTCTTGAGAGAACAGATAGAAGAAAGGTTGTTTTAACAACTCTCATGGTAAGGAGCTACTCCTGCTGAATTGGCACAGGGGTGTGTGCTGCTCTTCCCTCCAAACAGAGCCAGGAAGCCCTGGATGGATGACAGGGTGGGTGGACAGAGCTGCTCGTGATGCAGGGGGTGACAAACCTGACCTCATGTTAAGTAGGGGACTGGCAAAGACCTCACCCTGCCCCCACAGAGCTGCCCCTAGGCACCAGCTCTAACTCCAGCTTCTCTCCCAAATCTTCCCTGGATTTGCAGTAACTTTTTTAGCCCTTCATGTCACCTGCCTGGATCTTAATTTGATTTACAATTCACATGCTGCCAGGTTCCCTGAAGTATATTGAAAGAAACAACATAAATGTCCTCTAAGATGTGACAACAAAAGAATAGAAAAAAAAAAAAGAATTCCCTTAAGAGGGGGAGAAAAAAGGCAAAGAAAGAATAAAGACTCACATATTTTGTCAGATATATTTAGTGAAGATTTTTTTTCAAAGAGCTTTTTGTTTTAATAGTCTTTGATTAAAAAGAAAAACTGTTTTATTAAGAGTAGTACTTCTGCTTCTTCTTGGTAGGAATAATACTTGCTCAGAAAAAAATACAGCTTCCACTTTGCATGCTAATTTTGACTGCTTATCTCTACTCCCTTTATTTTATTTTATTATAAAATTATGTCTGGATCCCTGTCATCTTAAATTCAACATGAGGAAGGTACCTGAATGCTACTGCAGGTCTGCTTGCTGATTTCCAAAATATCTTATACAATTTCCAAAGTACCTTATGCAATATATGATTTGGGGAGAAGGCCAACTTCCTTCAGTAAAAGAGAAAGGGGAAAGGGCAAGTTTTCTTGCCTCCCTGCTTCCAGAGAAAAGCGGGAACATTCCAAATCTAAAGGCTTCAGAAAGAGAAGATGCATATTGAGCAAATTTTAAAAAATCTTATTGTATCTAAGTAACCTCCTGGGCTTTGGTGACTTGTTTCATGATGTGTTTTGTTCTTTTGGCACTGAATGTTGTCTCTTCTGGAGTTATACTGGGCTATGTTGCTACAACAGGAATGGGATTTCAGGGCCATGCAGGTTCTCTCCTTAGGGAAAATTTTCCTGCAGCTCCTGTCGTTATTGCAGGGATGCCCACTCTGGTCACGTCCCTTGCTGTGCCAGGCACAGGCTCAGGATATTCCCATCACAGCTTAGCTATAGGATATTCCCATCACAGGTTAGCTCCAAGTTTGCCCAGGAGTTTGTTGTGTTGTGAGTTTTTTCCTAGCAGGGAACCAGACAACCACTCCCAGGGTGAGAACTCCCTGCCCGGGGCCATCCCAGCCCACGCACATCGGTTGTGACATCGGCTCCGAGCAACAGTGACAGGGTGATCCTGGATAAACAGGCTGTATCAATGGGTGAGCAGTTCCTTTAAGATTAAAAAAAAAAAAAAAAAGGGTTAAAATAGTCAAGCTTTGTGCGGCTTCGAAGCTCACGGACATGTCATTTTTGGTGGGTTTATTACGTGTTGTGTGCGTTTGAGTCAAGCAGATAGTGTCAAATTCTGATAAAACAAATTCCAACATCCTAAAGTCAAATGGTTACATAAAGCAACATGTACAATCTGGGAGCTGGGGTTTTTTTCTTTTCATTCACTCAGGGTGTTTTTAATACATCTGAGAATTTAACCATGTCTCTCACTGTGATTTAGAAACATGCTGAGGCAGTTACTTAGTTAACTCAAAATTATTGGAAAAGATGAAGACAACTTGTGATTTCCAAAGAATCTCTATATGCAAAACAGCCTGTATCTCCATCTGAAGAAATTTTGTTGTAATGTTTTTCATCTTCTCCACTTTCTGATGAAAAAAATCAAATTATTTTGATAGTGTTTCAGATGAGGTGTTGCCTTTTCAGGTAGTGCAATTTCAGCTTATGTCACAAAATGTAATGTTTTATCGTTCCATCCTGCTTAGGAAAATCTATTCTTGCCTAAATTTTTTTCTGCAACACATCATCTGGAAGTGTTTCAAAACAGAACAACACAAAAAAGCTCATCTTGAAGTATTTGGCTTCTGCACCGTAGACTTCTGAGCTCTCATCACTGTGGGATCTGAGCCCCTTCCAGCAGCATAAGGAACATCTGCCATGTTTTGTTTGCTTTTCCATCCTCCCCTCCAGGGAAAATGCATGTGCAGTGGCATAGCCAGTTCTGGTCAGGTTTCTCTGCATGACATTGGTTTTAATTTTCTCCTTTTTTTTTTAAAGAAAAATGCATTTCAATTGAAATTCTCCTTTCAATGAGAGAAGATGGGATGGAAGCAGTACTTGGAGTGGCATGCAGGAATGTTTGGAGGAGGGGTGTTGTTCACCTTTCTCACACTGATTTGGAGGAATTGCTGATCACACTGGGATTTTTTTTTTGTGGGAGAGAAGCAGAGCTGGACTTTGCTGAAAGCCAAGAGCAGTTGTGCTCATTGCTAGATCACAGCAAGTGAAACTGCAGCTGGCTGGAGTCCAGGCAGAAGTCAGGGACTGCCTCTGGGAATGCAGGAGCAACCCCTGCTATGGCAGGGGATGAGCAGGAGAGTTACTTCTGTGTGAGAGCTCTGGGACTGGATTTACCCTCAATCCAGTGATTGTCCAAAGTGAGATTTTTCTGGCTGCAAATGTGACGTTATTTTTGGACTGCTGATCCCCGTGTAGGAAGGGCTGGACTTCAGCTTTGAGGGAGCCGTGAACTTCCACTCCGATGTGCAACCTCCATCCCCTTCTGCCAGGTCAGCTGTCAGGAGCTAGGCTTGATCTGCATTTCTGACTGTTGTGATTGCTCACTATTAACTCATAGATGAGATGAGAGGATCTCATCACAGGAGCTGTGCTGTCTGTTGCCAGTGCTGCTTTTCCAAAACAGGCTCATTTTACACTGGAATTTTTAACAGCATCAAACAGATTGGATGAATGCACAAAATAGTTTAATTGTCCTGAAAATTGACTCAATTTTCCATGGGAATTAGGAGCTTTAATAGAGTGGATGTTAAACCACTGTGGTATTTGCCTTTGCTTGGCATGAGAGGTGGCCAGACCCTTGGTACTTAAAACCAGGAGATCCCAGCTTCCCAAATTCTCTGCACAGTATCCAAAGCAAATATTTCCTCAGCATCATAAGTTTTATTAACATCTTGAACTTTATTTATTTTTATGCCTCAAAAAGCAGGCAATGACTGGGTAGCTGGAGATGATAGAATAGAAAACTGTGTCAGCACTGTTACGAGGAAGAATGTGAACGTTTTTGGATAGTGAAATGAGGAAGAGTCCCCCAAGGGAGGCAATCCTTGGAGACAGGGAGAAGAGGAGAGACAGAAGTGAATATAAAGGCCATGCAGGCACAAGCAGGATTTGGGATCAAACTTACCATAAGATTAGCAAAAATATCTGAATTTACATTGCCAGTAATGAACAGGTAAAGGTTGGCACTTGGCAGTTCCTCCTCCGTAGGAGGCAGGAAAGGTGCCCTCTTGTTTTCTTTCTTCCATCTCAGGGCTCAGCTAAATGTTTCCAGGGATGCTTTATGATTTCCAGCAGAAGGCCACATGCTGAGCTTTAACTTCCTCCTGCGGAGTGACTCCTGCTGCCTCTCCTAAAAGCTTTAGTATCTGTTGCAGAGCTTTCTAGGCTGCACTATAAACAGTAAATGGTTAAAAGCCAATGGGGAAAGAAATTGCTGGTTAATTAATCCTAACAAAAAAAATCGGCCCTTGATGATGTGCAAACTCTGAGCTGCCTGTGATGGGCACCAAGTTTTCTTTCAAAACACATGCCTGTTATTTCTGGTGCTCTTGGCTGCTGCAGAGTGAGATGAGGGGATGCTTTTGTCACCAAGTGATGTGTGGACCAGGCTCAGGCTTCGAAAAGGAGGTGTTTAATGTTGTTTGGTTTTTTTTCTTGTTTAGTCCTTATTAGCAGAAAAAGAAGCTAAATTTGTAAACAGAAATGATGAGAGGAGAAGGACATGTCTGCTGATCATAATTATGCTATCAGAAGCACATTGGCATAATGAAAGGATAATTGCTGACTATGCTGTGTTCTGTTTTCACATGTTTATGACAATTAGGTGTAGAAGTGGGCAGATTGTCACTGATTTTAGGCAAAGCCCTCTAGCAGGCATGAAGGAACTTAAATGCTCCTAGGAAACAGTTCATCCTTTGTGTCCCACCTCTGCACTTCCAATAGGATTAAATTCACCGAACAGCAGCAAATGCTCAGCATGGAGCTGCACGAGTGGTGCCCAGGCATTGTTAATTCTTCATGGAAGCAAAAGAGGCAAGGCAATAAGTCCTAAACCCCTGAGAGCCTCAAACCCAGCAGGTGCCTTATCAGAAGGCTTTGTCTCAGCTTAGTAAGCCCTTTCTCACATGCACCCAGAGCATGAAGTCTTTCTCCCAAATTTGCCTTGTCTTTGCTTTGGTTTCTGTACAATGATCCCGTGCAGATCTGGAATTCTTCATCACAAAACCTTCAGTCCATGATCTGTTGGCAGGATACCTTCGAGGGACAACGCTGAGCAGCCATTCATCTATGGGATAAAAGAGTTTCAGTGCTTGCTCTGGTTCCAGCTCTTTGATATGACATTTGAAAGGCAGATCCTCGTGCTGCCACTGAGCTGACTTCAAGCCAGGCACCTGGAGCCTGCACCTCCCTGCACAACCAGAGCCTGCTTTCTCACACTTGTTAGCACTGGGCAGCCTCTTGGCACTCAACTTAAAATGCATGTTTCCTCCTTAATATGGGTTAAAGCTGTTGAGGCTGCCTGTTTTTAGTGATTCGAGAATGTACATCCCATAATCAGTCTTATGGATTTGCTCCAGGTTTTGTTGTGTTAATTACCATCCCGGTTGCCTATGAGTTAATTAGTAATTAGTTACATGTAATACATGTTTCAGGGCACACCCTGAAAAACCAAATCATTACTCAGTAAAGAGTGCACAGATATAACATATTTGATGATATGGTAGAAATGCTTTGGTTTGACCAGAACAATTGAAATCTGTGTATTATTAGTGACCATTCACAGTTCTTTACAATTGATTGGCTTAATCTGGATTTGGGTTTTGGAGATCTGGGAACAAGAAGTAATCTAAGTATTAGATATTAGGAAAAAATTCTTCCCTGTGAGGCTGGTGATGCACTGGCACAGGTTACCCAGAGAAGCTGTGGCTGCTCCATCCCTGGAAGTGTCCAAGGCCAGGTTGGATGGAGCTCTGAGCAACCTGGGATAGTGGAAGGTGTCCCTGCCATGGCAGGGAGTTGGAACAAGATGCTCTTGAAGATCTCTTCCAGCCCAAGCCATTCTGTGATTCTGTGATTTTCATTTCCTTAGTTTTCAGGCCAGCCTGTGCTTTGGGAGTTTGGCGTATCTTCCCTCCGATGCTAAAAGGAAACCTGGTCGGGTTTGGACACCTTGGAAGGATGACACAAAGCCAGCAAGATCTCCTGTTGGTAAGGCACCCCCAACATCTTCTGGCATTGAGCAGCAGTCCAGTGACCCTCAAGTGTCTTCTTCCTCTTTGTCACCCTCGAAGGTGGCCTCAGCACACAGATGGCCCCTGCTCAGTGGAGTGTGGAGGGAGGCAGCCAGAGCGCGGGTGGGAGCCGTCCCCGGCAGCGTGTGACAGATTGAGAACTTTGTGTCACTGCTAAGCAGGAAGCCAAGCATGTGCTCTTCCTCCCACCACCAAATCTCCAAGTAACTTCACTCCAGGGTGCTTGTCCCCTCCATGGGTATGTCCAGGCCTGAATCTGTTGGTTCTTCCATTCCTCTTTTTCCTCGTGAGGCAAATTTGCCAGTCTGCATCCTTCCCTAACAGGGAAAAGGAGTGGGATGGGAGAGGCAGGGAGGATCAGAAGGATGTGACTGTTACAGAGGCACTTTTCTCACCACCCATGGACACCCACCTCAGTGGGTTCAGGAGCTCCCTGTGGATAGGCAGGTTTGCGTCACAGCAGTAGCATCCCTGCAGCCAGGTCTCTGTGACCACAGCAGGACACTTCTGAAAAGCTGCAGAGATTTTCTGGTGTTAAAATCTGTCTTGCTGACGTGTTTGTTGAGTCAGTGCCCCACTCAGCATCCTGTAACACAGCCTTGGGACTATTAGCACAATTCCTAATTTCAGCTGTGCTTATGAGCCTTCACACTGAGTTTGTTCTCTCATTGGAATCATCATTTACTTCAGCATGAATTTTTTTTTTTAAAATTCATACCCCTCCCCTCAACACACACAGACCTCACAGAGATTTTCATGCATTTAAATGAAAAAGCTGAACAGTTCCCCTTTCTCAATCACATTATGCAGCATTGCCCTTCTCTGTACTTCGTCCTATTTCAGAGCTGTCATGCAAACAATCCCAACTTTAAAAAAAAAAAATCATTAAAAAGTGTGCATCCTATCAGCCTTCTGTCTCAGCTCCTTCTCTTGTTCTACCTGCAGGGAGAAACCCCTTCTCCTGCTTGCCCCCCTCTCCCAGGTGTTTTCCCTTCATTCTTAGCTGTGATCCAGTATCTCTGTGATTCCCCAGGGTGCTCTGGTCTGCCCCAGTTGCCCAGGAAAAAAACCCTCACTCCCTTTTCCCCCACATATACAGCATTCACCGTTCCATGAAGCAACTGTTTTCTAAAGCATTTTAATGTGGGATTCTTTTTTTTTTTCCTAAATTATTCCAGAAATGGAAATTCTCCTCTTCTGTAAAATGTGACCCTGTACTGCTGGGACACCTCCTTTCCTTTGTCCACCCTAATATATCTGGGTGAAGCATTCATTGCATCTTCCACCTTCATCACTGCAGTATCTGATTGGGTTTGATATTATTTCTTCCTCTCTTTTATAACACCTGAGCCAGTTTTTTTTGAGCAAGATTCAGCTTTAGGCTTTGAACATGCATTGATTTGGGGTGGGTTTTATAATTATTATTCAGGTATGATTGCTGGTCTAGCTTATCTTAGCTGCCTTCACCATGCCAGAAAGTTATGCTCTGGTGAGCCTGCCCCTATTTTATATCCCTGCCTTTTGATCATTTGGCCATGCTGAACGGTCATTCTTCTGCAAGACAGGCTGCTCCAATTCCCACGGGATTGTCACGTTGGCCACAGAGGTCCTCTTTGGCAGAGACTAAAGAGTGAGGAAGCAGATCCAGCTCTAGGAGTCACTGGTGGCAGGGGGATGTCAGCAGGAAGGATCATTTGTTCTTGCTCTTGGCACAAGTGTGTGGCATTTGTTATTGGCTCTCCTGGGCAACAACCATAAACCAGTCGTAAACACAACTAAAAAAAAAAAAAAAAATCCCCAAAACGAGAAAACCACTGGAAAATGAGGAAAAACAACCACCCCTAATGAATATCCCAGGAAATGGAAATATAATGAGGTAGGGCTCAAAAGAGCAAAATGCAGGTTGTTCCTGTGGAATGAGTATTTTGTTCTCTCTGCAGCTGGAACTCTCATGAGAAGGTGTGGATGTCGGTGTGGCTCTGGTGAGGAGTTTGGACTGATCATGGGTGGAGAGAGCAAGAGATGCTGGAGCAGGTATGGGACAACAGGTCAAGGCTTTGACCTGTAATCCTCTCACCTCTGACATCCCACAGAGACTCCTGATGGCCAAGAGACTACCTTTTCCAAGAGGAATATGTCCTGCAGTAAGATCTCCAGTTTGAGGTAAAAATAACTATCACATCCTTCCCAGGCCCACGGAAAAGCACCTGCCTGGGCAGCAGGAGACTGGAAAACCGCAGGTGTGAAACTGGATGTGCCAACTTCTGTACAGGCCATCCGTGAATTTAGACTGCCCCACCTTCACTTTGCCCTGGTAACACTTTGGATTATCTTGATTTTTATTCACACATGGAAGGTGAAACCATCTGAATCTTAATGTTTAATGAGTTGGGGATTGCTTCTCAGTCTCAATAAATCCATTGGCCTCTTTGTCAGCGAGGAGTAAAGAGCTGTTTTCAATTCATGGTACGTCTTCAAAGTTTTTTTCAAAGATTACTTTTTTTTTTCCCCTCTCCTCTCATGTATCTCAGAAGAAACCAGGCTGCCAAACTGCTCCAGGAAGCTCTTCTGAGATAGAGACATCCATCTCTGTGTACGGTCTGTACTTGTGAAGCGGAGCACAAAGCCCTTTTTCCATTTAATCCATATTAATTATCTCTTTGCAGCTCCTCTGTAGTTTCCACTCAGCCCAAGCAGTCAAAAACTTGTGTGGCTGCATCTTGAACAAACCACAGCCTTTCATTCCACACCTGGTAAGTCAATGCTCCAAAAATAAAAATAAATAAAGAGGTTTACTGCTGAGGAATTGGGGCTCTCCACACTTGAACACTGAATGCCGTGGGACTGTGGACGAAGGCAGATATTTTTAGTGCCATCAATATCTCCTGGAGTTGATATCTCCCAAGACAGATGGTTGTTTCCCACAGAACGTTGTCAAATGTTTGCTCAGCCAAGATCAATTTTGTTCCAAGTCCTTTCCCACCTTCTGGTGAAATATATTTCACTTGCCAGACTAAAAATTAAAGAAACAGCATGAAACCATGCCACTCTAGAGGGTTCTCATTCCCATGGCTCTCCTCTGTGCTTTAGCCATGTGACTGACATCTCTTTCTGTGCCCGTGGAGGAGTAATAGATGCACTCCTGGTGTGAGCACGATGCCAAAAAAACAGGGCTCGGGTCTCGTGGCAGAGGCTGATTTCCTGTGAGACCCACAAGTCACTTCTCAGCCTGTCAAAGGGTCTCGCTGCCACACTTTGCTGTTAGACCTCCTAAAACCAAAGGAATCCTGAGCTCTCCCCCTGAGCACCTCGGATAGAGCTCGTAAGAAAATGAGGTACAAAGGGGAAGGAGGAGCAAAAGCCATGCTGAGGAGGGGGCGCAGAAAGTCTGGGCTGTGTCCATTGCTCAGCAGCAGCTGCAACATTTCTTTTACTGACAAGCCCATGTGAGCCTGGAGACGTGGAGCCCCTTGGTGGTGTCTGCTCTGTGTGGATTTTCAGCTGAAATTACGGGGGGCAAAGGACTCTTTAAAGTGTGGCACGGAATGTGTCTATTTTCCTTTCCTTGCTGGTTGTTATTTTTAGCTGAGCCTGACTTGTCACAGCGTAAGAGACAGAGCTGGTACTATCTGAAGGACAAGCTCCCTTATAATGCCTGATTGTTACAAGTGAGAAATTACAGCAGCCAGTGCCAGCAGCAGTTTCTGAAATGTGATGATGATTCCTTCCTGTTGCATTTTAGCTTGTTGTGGCTGTGGATTTGAAAAATGTTAACATGGGGTTGTTTTCTAGGACGTTGGCAATCCAGGATCAGCAGGGTATTTCTCATCTTTATCACTTCATATGTAAAAATAATTCTGATTTAGTTTTGTAATTCTAAATCCTTTTGAAAATGCTCTGAAATTAAATTCATTCTTCTGCATACTGAAAGATGCATTGGATCATCCAGAATATTCTTTCCACGTCGATCCATAATCTTCACTATTACTGTTTCAGAGGCAAGTGAGGCTCTCACTGGAAGGGAAATCATTGCTATGATGCCCCCAAAAATTTTTCATCCTTACTTTGGTTCTATTCACACCAGCTGGACTTTTTAAACAAACCTATATCCTCAGACTAATTTTGCAGAAGAGGATTTTGGATGGAAGAAATATGCTAGTCTTAGTATTGTACTTCTTGTTTGGGATTTGCCTGGGATTCATTAATATTTCACTCCTACATTTTCCTTAGGATTACATATTCCTGACCCTTAACTCGTGTAAGAGGCACTTTGAGCCTCCTCCTGCCAAATTAGCATCTTCACTGTTCTCAAAATACCAGGTATACAGAAATATATATTGCATATATATATGCCCAACTTACCACTGAATTGTTAACCTGCAGAAATCACTCTCTGTTACCTGGCAAAGTCAAGTGAAAGCCTCTGTGTAAAGCCTTTTCATATTGAGGCTTTAATTGCCAATACAGATTTTTTCTCTATGACAACCTATCATTGGAAGCAAGGTTTGCAGTGTCTTAGTGGCTCCTGGGAGAGACCAGCTGTAATGGGAATCGATAATTTGGTCTGCAAGTGAGTTTGGAACAACCCAATCCCTGCCCTCTTTTAAGTGGGGTACTTGTTCAAAGAGAAGTAAGGGGAGTGCAACAATTCCACGTAAAAGAAACAGAGGAAAACCAACATATACAAAAACTGTGTGTATGTGAAAGGTGGTGTTGTTTATTAAACCTTATTTTATCTATATCATAGAATGGTTTGGGTTGGAAGGGACCTTAAAGACCATCTAGATCCAACCCCCTGCCAGGGGCAAGGACACCTTCCACTAGACCAGGTTGCTCAGAGCTCCATCCAACCTGATCTTGAACACTTCCAGGGATGGGGCATCCACAGCTTCACTGGGCAACCTGTTCCAGTGCCTCACCCTAACATCTACTCTAACCCTGTCCTCTATTTGTTGAAAGCCATTCCCCCTACGTGCCCTACTTAGGGGACTTCCCTCCTGCCCATTTGGCGAGCTTTCTCAGCTACTTTAAACTGTAAGGAGAAAAAAACCTCTTCCTTTCTCCTTAAGAATATTCACATGCAAAAGCTAAGCCCCTGCTTCACATCTTTGTTCTGGAGTTTGTCTCCCTGATACATTAATTCATGGAACACAGGTGGAACATTTTCATTGTTAAGATCCAAATTAAGCTGTCTATCCTGTAAAGGATCCCCCCTGCCTGAAGCAAAACAGAACTGTTAATGCATTTTTTATAAACAATGCCATTAAAGATGCATGAAAGATGTGTTGTAAATATTAAAACGGAATTATCACTTTTTTTTTTTTATCCCTTACTCAATGAAACATAGCCCAAAAATCTCCAGGTCAAATTCCTTCTGATGCAAATTAAGCCAGACCCTTTGAAATGCAAGTGTTTTGCCCATTCCCTTTACTACAGTGTTGCAGTTTCTTCAAGAGCTCTGAAACAGCCCCGTGAAGTTGCTCGCAGATGTGGCGAGTTCAGTTGTGGAACTCACAGTGCAGTAGTCAAGCTATAAAAACACTTGAATGTGAGCAGAGCAATTACAGAGAACATGTATGAATATTTCAGGAGGTGGTGTGGTCTCCTCAGCCTGCTCCCTGATCAAGGCAGGTTTGACATGTCGCTGCAGGGCTTTACTTGAGGAACCCTCGTGAGCCGTGTTGGCCCGAGGCTGGGCGTAGGCATCTCCCAGGCACGTTGCCTGCTAGGCTGTTATCCCACCTAGTGGCTGCTCTCCCTTCCCACAAGACAGTTTTTTTTTCCCCCATGATATCAGTGAAACAAGTCAAGGTTTGATGTATCACCCCGGTTAGCAGTGAATGTGCTCTCACATTGCTTAGTCAGGTGGTCAAACCCGTGCCCTTGCCGTAAGTGCCTTACACCGGGGACGGATTTCATGCTCAGGTGGGTGTTCACATCATCTAACTTTATACATCAAATATAGATGCCTGTTTAATGCAGCCAGCTTTGCAGTGAGAGTACTCTGCATCACCTCTTACTTATATAATCACAGAATCACTTAGGTTGGAAAAGACTTTGAAGAGCATCGAGTCCAACTGTAAACCCAGCACTGCCCACCACTAAACCTTGTCCCCAGGTGCCACATCTACATGGATTTTAAATACCTACAGGGATGGGGACTCCACACCTTCCCCAGGCAGCCTGTTCCAATGCTTGACAACCATTTATCTGAATACATTTTTCCTAATATCCAATCTAAACCTTCTTTGGTTTATTTCTTTAATCCCTGCAGTCCTTAAATGCATGACTCGCGTTGACTGGATGGTCCAACTCTTTAGATCGACTTATCTACCCAGAAGAATCTCTTGATTCTTTTCATGGTCTGTTTTCCCTTGATTTGTTGTCAGTCTTGCTTTGTGGGAAAGAAGAACTCAAGAGTAAAGGCAGCTGAAGTTCCCTGCACGTACCTGAAGAATGTCCATTGCTCACTGCAGAGCAGAGATTTAATAATGAAAGTCACCCCAGAAAATTAATGATTAATCTTAATCTTTTTTTTTACAGAATCAATGAATCTTCTTCAAAATGTAGAACTATAAGAATTGTTTTCATGTCTATTGAAAAAAAAAAATCACATTGTTAGAAAACAAGACCGTTTTCCTGACCATCATCCTTTACTAAATAAGTCTCAGTATTTAATTTCTTTTCCATTAAGCAAAACATAAGAAATTAATTCCTTCAGTCTACTGACATTTATTTAAGTGAAAATATTCCCACCTGTGCTGTCTCTGCCAGTGCTCTGGAAGAAAATTTTCCCTAGAAAAGTGAAAAAAAGCACAGAAAGCTTGACGCACGCTTTCTTTTTCTTTTCCTCTGCTGTATTTTTTTATAGATCTATAATTTGGTGATGAAATGCATTTACCACCAGTACTATACTCAATTTAACAGTCAGCTCCTTCATGCAGGAACCTGTAGCTCCCTCCTCCCTGAGCTGCTTGCTGCGTGCAGCCGGGGAAGCTGTTTCCCAAGGCTCCCAATTAGCTGCCTTCCCAAGCTGTCTTTTCCAACTGGATCAGATATTCAAGATTCCCTTCATGTCTCCCTGCTACCCTTTAATTTACATTTCCAGCAGTATCCTCTGCAAGTGGTCTGCCACCTGGTTATACCAGGGAAAGTTTTGCTGGATCGGGAAGCCCATTGCGGGGTGCAGGGAACCAAAACTTCTGCAACCTCCCAATGCTGCAGATTCCTGATTTTGATTTTCCTGGGGCTGAGGGATGCTCATGCAGTCCGTGGATGAGAGGGTTTTCCATGGCACAGTGATCCAGCAGGTCAGTGTCAGTGCACAGACATCCCTGGTAAAAAAAGTAAAAGAAATAATTCCTCACATTTCTACTACTTTGTTTCAGAATTTGTGCTATTTAAGACTTGTGGGCAGCCACTCACTATCTAAAACTTATTTCCAGACAAAATCTGGTAATGAACTCCCACTTAACTGATGATCAGTTTCCAAAAATAATCGCTCTGGAATTAATGATGCAGGATGCTTTTTTTTTTTTGTTTTGTTTTTTGTTTGTTTGTTTGTTTGTTTGTTTAATCACTTTATACCAAGATACACCAGAATTATCAGATCAACTCTAACAGGATCTTTTACTGTAGTCTGAGATCGTAATCTTCAGACTAAAATGAAAACATCACCTTAAACCTGCAGCAAAGAGCACCTTCATGCTTGTTGCAGTTGATCCTTCCTGCAACAGGGAGGATCAACAGCATATTTGACCCTGTATTTTGAAACGTGTGAACTCAAATGTACCTGAAATGCAAAGAAACAGGAGGGGGAATAACCTTCCCCCCTTTTGCCTCCTCTGGAAGGCAGAGGGGAATTTCTCTTTGCACTCAGGAGTGTCCTGTGCTGTAAAGAGTTCATTGGTCTAATTTCTGTGTAATGTGACTGGACTATAAAAAGGGGGGTTTGGTGCTTTTAGTGTCTTTTCTTAAGGAAAATGAATTTTCAGGCTGATCCACTTCCAAAGTTCAAGCAAACACAGGGTCCAGGCACAGCAGCGGAACACACACAGTTATCAAGATGTCTCTATTTTCATTAACAGCTAAGGAAAGCCATTACAGTTCTGAAGCACTCTGCTTTTGTCTTTTGCAGAGATCACTTAGCTGGAGATAACTAGGGAGATGCCTGAGAAAAGGAGCAATTACAGGTAATCAATAATCCTCAAATGGCAGCAATTAAAATTCTGGGGGAAAAAATTATTAAAAAGAAAGCAGGCAAGGTAACGGCAAATCATCCATCAGCTATTCAGAGAGCTTTTGCAGATCTCAACTTGAAGAGAGGAGGAGTTTTTAATTAAATCATCGTTTGAGGACGCCATTGATCCTTCATGTGTGACAATTTAGAATGCAAGAAACAGCTTTGAATGGCCATAATCGTAAAAGATGTGTTTGTTTTCCCCCAAAATGAGCCCCTTGCCTGGCTATGGAAAAGAGATGATTCTGCTGAAACAATGCGTGAGAGCTCTCTGCTTTTAAATGATCTAATTTCCATCTCCTTTAGCTGAGTCAATTTGGTGCAGTAACATATGTCTTTGTTTCCAAATAGAGACGTCTGTAGACAGCATTTTCCATACAACTTTGTCCCTTGCCCCAAGAAGATAAAACCAGTGGATTAGGATTCCACAGGTGTTGTGTTTCCATGACATGAGGCACTCGAGCAGATTGACTCGGGAGGTGCTTTTCCTCTGCTCCAACCAGGGCACAAATTCCATTTTTAGTGATTCTCACCAGCCTTTTGGAGGCTCAGCCCTGGGGGGGTCCCTCCGTGTCTTAAAGGGGCAGCAGGGGTGTTGCATCCTTAGAGAGGCACCTGCTGCTCTCAGAAACAATG